CAAATAAGGATGTTATGCAAAAAATTGCGATGATTGGAGCCTGGGAACAAAAAAGCCCTAAAATTTTGACCACAACTACCCCAAACGTAAGAGCAACAAGTTGACCCAATATTTTTTTTACAATTTTCAACTAAAGTTATATTCATTAACAAATTTCAAATTGCATACAATAATCTTTTAGCATTCAATAGTTATGACCATATAAAACTTGTAACCCCCTCAAATTGAGGGGGATTGAAATTTCATATGGTCATTATTATTGAATGGTGAGAGATTATACTATCTTTTTAAAGGGGTACCACAGAACAAAATCTAAAATAGAGATTCTATGAAAAAGGTAGTTTTTATTATGATGTAATATATAGTCGTACTTTTTCCAATGAAAATAAATTTTAAATATTCATTAATTATTCATAATGGCGGATATAAACTCTACAATAAGGAGCAAAACTAGAAAATTTAAAACCAAATTTCTCAAGTTACAATTTTCAAATGAAGTTGAAACTTTGCACACTGGTTCCTATGATAGATGTGCTCCATTTAACCGTTCAATTTTTTCCCTAAAAGATTTTAATGAAAATTTTTATATTTCAATAAAAATATTTGGCAAAGATTCTGTTTAAAAAAGTTCAATAGCAAAAAGTAAAAATATTTTACTTTTTTTCTTTTTTAGGAAAACTTACATAAAAAGTTGGATACTAATAATGCACTAATTATTCAACTTATGGAATGTTGAGAAAAACAGTAAGTTCTGGTTGATGAAATTTTTATGATTCTATATATATATATATATATATATATATATATATATATATATATATATATATATATATATATATATATATATATATATATATATATATATATATATATTATATATATATATATATATATATATATATATATATATATATATATATATATATATATATATATATATGTATATATATTATATATATAATTTTATAGACATCAACAAATACGAATTTCTATCGATACTAAATTTATTGTTTAAAAGAAATTTTTGCTGGATTGTTGTGATCAGCGTTTTGAGCTTAAAAGTGTTTTGTTTGTTTTTGTTTATATCTTATTTTTAAAACGGCATTTCTATTTTATGTCAAAGGGAAGGTTTCACCTTTTTCATGACGTAAGTGCACCAGAAATGGTGTCCAATATTTTGTAGACACATATTGTCCCTCATCTAAATTGATACCATTTGTTGAGGAGCACAAGAAGAAGTAAGAAGAAGTTTCATTCTATATATAACATTTGTATATATGTATATTAGGGTGATTAAAAAAGTAGCTTTTTAAATAGTCAGCTCCTTAACCCTAAATGTGTTCTATATAATAAAATAATACAAGAGTAAAATTTTCATACTAGTACTCAAAAGATGCAATATTAAATAAAGTTTTAAAAAATAATAATCATTTTATATAAAAATTATTATTTTAATAAAAACTATGGTTTTTTTTTTTGACTAAAAAAATTTCAATATTTAGTTTTTTAATAATAATTATTTTTAAATGTTTTTTATATAAAATTGTTATTAATTTTGAAATTTGTATTTAGTTTTTGCATCTTTTTAGTGCCAGGATGACATAATTTATTTTTTTTCCCGATAATATTATGAATTCGTCTTATATTTATAGGGTATTATGAAACACAAACCTTGACGAACAAGACCGCTGCGCGGAGAAACAAGTTGAGCGCAGTACTATGGTAAGTACTGGAGAATGATTACGAGCCAATACTGGCCCATTGGCCGTTTCGATGCAGGCCCGTGATCGACGGACGTCATCGTGCCGTAGGCGCAAGTAAAACTGGGCCAGCATTGGGCCGTTACCGGAAGGCTATCTGGTTTGTTACTTATATCAAATTTAAAAATTGGTGTTACTCTTTTGATCAGATATCTGTATGAGTGACATCCTAATCCTAATAAATCATTAACATATTCTTATAAACAATTTTATGCTAATAACTACCATTATAATATTTATTATTACAAATATTTTTTATTTTTTTTATTGTTATTATTGTAATCATACTTATTATTACTATTACTATAATTTGTATTAATTTTGTTTTCTATCAGTGACGGATACTGAAATTTTCGGTGCGGGGATGGGGTTGGTTTTGTTGAAAAATTTTAGTATTATGTACCACATTTGCGTCTCCTAAAAAAGAAAAAAGCTTCCTAATTTCTTAGATATTTAATACTTTCAGATTCTGGTGGGGGGAGGAATGCATACCCCCTTGATCCGTCACTGATTATTATATATTATTGTTATTATTATTATTATTATTATTATTATTGTTATTATTATTTTGATTATTATTAATACTATTGTAAAAATGATTTACGGAAAATAAATAGCTTGTTGTTGTCAGGGTAGGCATTAAAAAATCCACCCAATAAAACCCGCTTAAAAAAACCCAATAAAACTCGGGCAATCTGGGTTTTATTGTTTTTTTTTAAAGATATTTTATAATTTTATGA